AGAATATATGGAGTAATACAGGGATCCCAACAGAGAATATAGAATATATGGAGTAATACAGGGATCCCAACAGAGAATATAGAATATATGGAGTAGCCTGCAGAGGAGGCTAATTTTTAAACAAGTAAACATAATTTATGACGTACATTTGATTCTATTCAGTAGGAATCTTTTTACTTTTCTTTCAAATYAGGATCTTGCCTGTATTCAAGGATCGTGATACCACAGCATTTCCGCCAGCCATGTACAGTCACCCAACAAAGACATATAACCTTATTAACAACATTTAACGTAGTTGATAACAGCGCACTCGGACAACGAACGAAACGCAACCGAAAACCGTATTTGATTGGATTCTACAGAAAACGAAAAACAGCAGACATTGGTGATGTCATCAGGGTTGCTGTCGGAGGCAAAACAAATAAGGCTATTGTCGTGGGAACGAGGAAAACGAAACATCATACGGTCCCAAGATATGATAACAATAATATTGTATTAGTAGATGATAACCTTGCTCCATTGGGCACAAGAATAAAAGGCCCGATACCTAGCATCATAAGAAGACGGCAAGCAAAGTACTCTAAAGTATTAGCTATAGCATCTAGATTTATTTGATACGTTTTGTTTGTACAATATTCTGGACAATAAACAAGTATTGGACGAGGTTAAGTGACACTAACAAATCATATTTTGGGATAATCGAGTTAGTCAATGATTGCTGTTTTATCAAATAAAATACKTTTTGCATTTTCTTTTTGCGTTTTGGCTGTTTTGTTTGTCTTTGAACATACGAAGTGGAAGCATGGGTGGCGTAGAGCGCTCGCCTCTCATCAATGCGACCCGGGTTGGAGTCCCGACGAGCTCGGTGTCGTACACATCTACTATGAAACATGATCTTAGGCCTAGGGCAAACGTCGAACTTTCCATGCACCGAACTCATTATCATTCATCATTCTTTGATGTAGTTGCCCCATTTCACTATGACATCACTGCTTGTTTATGTGGGGGATAGAATCGCCAAATCCAATAGAAAATTCAACAAAATTTGCTCCTAGCGAAACAGTTTAATCTAAAATAGCCTGGTTTTCAGATATCATATGTGTTAATACGTACTAAAAAATATCCTGAGCGTTTGCTGGCTATTCTACTTCTCTTCGTGGATTGATACGGGTTTTAGAACAATTTTCGGTGAATTTGCGTTGATTTGACCCCCGTCCGACGACCATGATCCTTTGCGTTTAAACAATAGATTGTTTTGGTGTGACGTCATAGTGAAATAGGGCAATAAAGTTCGGTACACGGAAAGTTCGACGTTTACCCTAGGCCTTGGGAATTTTACTTTTCGATTCATCAATCTAGGACCATACTTCCAGACATCGAGTGCTGAACCGTCGTATGGCAGCGCGAAGCATTTACGGCTACGCCGGAGATTTCGGCCCCGACACCGCTATCCGGAGATTTACAGACTGATCAGGAAGCTAGGCCGAAG